ATAAAAGTATAAATTATTAAGTTTCATATAAATATATTTGTTAAAACAATGGATCAAAGTTTACCACCTTTGACAGGAAAAGTCAAAGATGGCTAAATAAAAGGAGACGGAGGTAGTATCAATTAATCAATTTGGATAAAGTAGTTCTGCCAGAACAGTGGGAGCCTGGCTGATTACCCAATAGGAAATTAGGAAGACCAGAAGAGTCTATACCCAAGTGGTGACAACTCCGGTACCCATTTAAAAAATGAGGTACCGTACCTACCATGCGTTTGATTGGTCCAAATCATTCTATGCTTTTTAATTTAGATTTAAATAATTCAACTGTATCATTTTTATTGGTTCATTTGAACAAAGATACGGTACATTTGGGATAATTAGAACTTCTTGACCATCATATTTTGAAGTATAAAAAATGCGGAGTAAACTGATTGCGGAGGCAAAAGCCAAAAGGAACCGAGAGTCTATAAAATTGACTGGAATTTGTAAAAAATTATAAACTTTGAAACTTCGATTTCTTCAATTCTTAGCAATCCGTAATTCCACATAAAAATTAAAAACTGATTAACTAAAATTTCTAAATGAGTTATTTTTACATGCAATTTATTTATTATTACTCCCTTTGTCCCGTTAAAATTGTACTATTTGAGCATTTCGATTCGTTCCACTAAGTGTTCCATACCAAATTTGATATGATTTTAAATCATTCTTATTTGATTCTTACTTTATCAATTCAATATCAACCACATAAACCACTTTTTATTGGTTTACTTATCACTGTTAGTGGGAGGGAGTATTTATTAATTGTATGAAACTTGAAACTTTTTTTTATACAGAGTATATTTTTTCTACTTTTCTTTAAGTTATTCGCTAATCTACTCTTGATTGTAGTGATGTACTAAAAAATTTTGCACATCAAAAGGCAAGAAAGAATACATTATTAGGTAGTACTTTTATAGTTTTGTTTATTTCTTAGAAGAATTTACATTTTCACACACTTTATATCAATTTTAAGTACATTATTACCTTTTACATTTAGTAAAGGATGATGTTATAATTTTCTAATTACATTATATTTAATTTCTTTATTAATTTTAAGCAATATTCTAAAAGGCGCTAGGCACTAATCGGGCGCCAGCCAAGCGCCTAGGCGGCTAGGCGGGCGCCTAGTCGGGGACTAGTCAGAAACATAGAAATTGCATTTTTATTTATATTTTTGCATAAATATGATAAGTAATGTTGTATTTTTGTGTGTATAAAATACATATACACATATACATTAACAAACATGAATGATAGAATTATCACATTTAATCATACATAGTATATGATAACTAATCACTTAACTTCATTATGTTATAAATATAAATAATGATAAAATTTAGGTATATATACAAACTATATAGTTTTATCGTAATTTACAACTTCATTTCTTTATATTCATGGCTAAAGTTAAAGCACGTATATCGTTTAGAAAATCAAAATTAAAAAGTGAAGTAATGTTCGGCGAATCTAGACGGCCTAAGCGGCTGATTTGGCGCTCTATGCGGGCAACTAGGCGTCATAGGCGGTCGACTAATTCACCTAGATGACAAACCAATTAGTCGGAGTGCCTAGACGAAAATCGGGATGCCCATCCACAGCCTAGCGCCTAGGCGGGGACAAGTCGGACGCCTAGAACGATTTTTAGAACAAAGATTTTAAGTATTATTTGATCTCATTGGCCATTTTTTGTCTAGGGCATCAAAACTCCCAGAGACGGCCCTGTTTTAGTGTTATCAAAGAGGCTATAGCTATATATAAATTCACACCACAATATCTGAAATTAAAAACTATATTAGGACATGAATTAATAAAACTCGTTTTCCAAATATAAATAGTGAATCTACTCAAAAAATCAATTTGGAGGGAGCTCAAAATCCTCAAATGACGTTTGTATAAAGTTTCAATAACAATAATAATAATACTCCTTCTGTCCCTAAAAGAAAGTTCTATTTCGCTTATCGAGAGTCAACTTAAATCACTCTTAAACTCTTACTTTTTATATCAAAATTTTATAAAAGTTGAATTATTTTTTGCAGGCTTTGTAGCGAGTTTAATGTAGTTTCTGAATATGTAAATTTTATTTACTAAAAATAATCCAAGTTTTCACAAGGATCATTTAACTTTATCGTCGGTCAACCATCGTAATCCGCAATTGGAACAACATTTAGGGACGGAGGGAGTAGTAATAATCTGAATCCAATGAAGTCATTTCTAACTTATTCGACTTGATATTTACAGGTACCTATACTTCCATGAGAGGATTTTACAATCCTTGATCGGGGATCCTACATTCACCTTGCCGTACTGGAACTGGGACAACCCACAAGGCATGTTCCTCCCAGAAATCTTCGACGACAAGGCCTCGCCATTGTACAACGAGGTTCGTGACCAAAGGCACCACAAGGATCTCATCGTTGACCTAGCTTACTCCGCCGGAGAAGCACTTAACACCACTGAACTCCAAATCCTCCGGAACAACCTCGCGATCATGTACCGGCAAATGGTGACCAACGCGCCGTGCCCGGCGCTCTTCTTCGGAAACACTCTCCGAGGGGAGGGCTACGACACCAAGTCCGGCGGCGGGACAATAGAGAATGTTCCCCATAATACTTTGCACCGATGGGTCGGTGACCCCACAATGACTAACAATGAGGATATGGGTAACTTCTATTCCGCAGCCAAAGACCCGGTTTTCTATTGTCATCATGGGAATGTGGACCGGATGTGGTCCGTTTGGAAGGGTTTGGGTGGCAAGCGTCGTGATATAGCTGACCCGGATTGGTTACAGTCTGAATTCCTATTCTATGATGAAAATAAAAATCTTGTCAAGGTCAACGTTCAGGATTGCCTCGATCACAAGAAACTTGGCTACACTTTCCAGGTGCATAACATAATAAATCTACTACCTTAGTCCATTTTGAAGCTAGATTGTTCGTTTAGCTCGTTCAATTTAATAGGTAGACATATATGCATGTGTTTGTAAATGTTATTTGTTTATTTATAAGAATATGTGTGTTTTAAATATATATGACGAAGCGTTATTACATAATTAAGACTATTAAGATTTAAAGTGTACAAGAATTCATAAGATATAAAACTCATCGTGTGTTATCATGTTGTTTAATTAAATGATTTTTGTGTAAAACTTTATAGTTTGTTGAAAGGATTTAATTTGTCAACTTTTTAAGTAATTTTTATGGAGTGAGTAGATTATTTTATTTTATCACGCCAGATCACCCCAAACATGCAAGGTTCAGGCCAAATTAAATTAAGATTGGGAAAATTTTTGAAATATAAGTAAAAATGTTTGAAAATTCCAACACGTAGTAGAAATTAGTCTTATTTAGAGAAAACATGACAATACTATTGTGATATATACAAACATTTTTAGTTCTATTTAGGCCAATTTCCCATTATAATTTTAAGTCTAACAAGCCAGACTCAACTCAAAGATAATAACAATATAAGCCTTATTATTTAGACGAAAATCTGATTTGAGTGATTCCCGGCCCCCTGCTCCCACCTCTACTCATAATGATATCAATCGTATATATTCAGGAATTGAAAACCTTGGAATACACAAAGAAACATACAATTTGAATATATTATATTATCACAAGCACATCCAGCTTTTTGTCATTCACTCATTCATTTAATTTGTAGGTTAATTAATTAGGTTTTGTAATTCATGGTTAGTTTTCTGGACACTTTACATTCATTATACACGTATTAATTTGACTCGCATTACAAATATTATGATGAACTCCAATTTTTAACTTCTACAAGGATATGCCCACCCAATGGATGAGATCCAGGCCAACATCAAAAAAGAAGACACAGTCCGCGAGAAGCACCAAAATATCTATTCCCTTGGCCATTAACATCTTACCAACAACGTTACAACAAACTGTAACGTTTTATGTGATGAGGCCCAAGACATCGAGATCAAAGCAAGAGAAAGCAGATACGGAGGAGTTATTGAATCTCAGCTTAACATATGATGAAACCAAGTACATTAGGTTCGACGTGTTTCTCAACGAAGACAATCTCTTAAAGGTGTTCGAGTTGGATCGGGCAGAGTACCTGGGAAGTTTCGCCAACTTGGCTCACATTCATGAGAATTCAAATGAAAACCAACCGAAGACGACGACATACAGCCTGGCCATAACTGAACTACTTGAGGATTTGGGGCTTGAACTTGATAAAAATGTTGCGGTTACGGTGGTGCCAAAGTATAACGGTGAATTCATGACTATAAACAGCGTCGACGTCTCATTGTTATCTTGTTAAGGGATTACTTTCGATGCAAGCACGTTGCGGTAGGTGATGTATGTGTATAGAAAAATAATGTCACTCGCAGAGATCATATGAATTGAAGTATGTTTCTTTAATTCTATTTTATTGAAGAATGAACTAAACAGTCTCTTTAATTTGAGAATTTATTTGGAAGAGTTCGTTAAGTACCTATGATTGGGTGTGTTTAGACTTAAAGGGAGCTTGATTTCAAACTTATAGGGTAATTTATTGTGCTTTGCTTTCAGATGAACTCGAGTATCTGGAATTGAGTTATAAAGATAAATTATTAGTCTGTTTTGGTCTGGTTTAAGATAAATTAAACATCCTAAAAACTTTACCAAGATAATAAGGCTTATATTATTGACTCAAATCAGATTTTTGTCTAAATAATAAGGCTTATAATGTTATTTTCTTTGTAAATTTAGATGGAGTAAAAACTAATACTAGTAATTTTCCAAGATATCAAACACTTTCTCCAACTCTAAAAACTTTATCATCTTTAGTTTTATTTTTCAATGAATTTTATTAGGTAAATAGTATATTGATTAATATATTTTTTAAAGCTATAAGTTTTACACTTGTCATAATATAAGTTTTTTAGATGTATAAACATTTTTAACATACTCATATTTTGTACAGCTACAAACAAGATAATGGTCGTCACAAACAAAAAATGTATATTAAAGACATAGACATCTCTATAAATTTGTACAGCTACAAACAAGATAATGGTTGTCACAAACAAAAAATGTATATTAAAAACATAGACATCTCTATAAATTACACATCTACCTATATATAAAAAGAAGTGGAATTCTTGGCCACTTTCCCGCTCAAAAACATCTTTATCAAATACAGGCAAAAGTCCCTCTTCTCCATTGTGTGAGCCAGCCGTCAGAGTCATTAAATGTCCAAGCCTGCCCATAATTCACTCCCACCACCGATGACGGTACAACCAGCGGCGGACACAAAGGGGGGCAATGAGGGGCTGCCGCCCCTCCGAAAAAAAAAATTCTAGGTATATTTACCCCGAAATTTTTAATATATATGTATTTGTATGTATATTCTTCTACTGCCGCCCCTGCTATCGGGAAATCCTGCGTCCGCCGCTGGGTACAACAGCATCGGCAAAAAAACAATTACTGGGCAAGGACTTCACCGTTGGGTCTGCCGCCGCCGGCGGCAACTTTAACAAATAAGTATGTAGTAACAACTAACAGCTGCCTCAACAATCAAGAATCAAGCAAGGCAAATTCACTGAAACTTACACCAGCTCCACAGCCGGCGTAAGCCACTTCAAATACGATGGTAAAGGCACTGGCGCAAACTGTGTTCAAGAGCAAGGGATGCGTGACACAAGACCTTACAAAATGAGAAATACTACTTCCAGGATGTTGAGGAGTTCCCTGTTCCCAGATGAAGAGGAAATGCCTTGAGATCTACTATGTTTTGAGTAATAAAGTCTTTTCCTTTTCTCAGATCTGAAAAATGAAACTCTCAAAAAGAAAATGAAAATCTGAAAGATGTGAAATTTCCGAGAGATCTTGGTGCACCAGATCTTCTTTAGGGGATATTGAATTGTTATTATACGGAGTGTATATTAATATACTACCTATATTGGATAAACTAAACGGAGCTTTGTTATGTGTTCAGGCAGCTGCTTTGTTCGGAAGTATTGGATTTAGGATTTATGAATCTAAATAAATATGTCAAAAATTTATTAAAATTTTACAACATTCCACATATAAAATACGGAGTAGTTTCCAGTTTAATTCAGACCCAAATTTATAAAAGTGAGAATAAAATAAAAATATATGATTGTGGTTGAGTATAAAAAATGTAATCAAAGTTCACACATAATGCTAGGGAGAGTATTAAAAATTAGGGGTGGGCAAAAATACCGAACCGGCATGATACCGAACCGAACCGATATGGTACCGGACCAAAAAATGGGGTTTGAAACGGATCTCAATTTTTTTTCCCGAACCGAACCGTATCAATTCTAAACAATGCCATGACCGGTTCTCATAAAATGAGAACCGAAACCGGACCGAACCGGACCGAAGTATGATTTAATTATTTAAATTTACATTTATACCATTATTTTGACTAATGCCTTTACATTTTCACCGTCTTTGCTAGTTCATAGGAAGTCTGGAATCGAACCGATGTATGGTTTAATAATTTAAATTTGTACTACTATAATTTATCTGAAATTTATTAATTATGTAATACTACCTTCGTCCCAAATTGATTTGCAAAATTAACTTGTTTTTGTCAAACAGATTCATTTTATTCACTTAACTTGAATGTCAATTTTTAATTATATTTAATTTGGAGCTTGCAACTTTGAAGAAATTTCAATGTAGTTTCTGAATATGTTTATTTTAATTATTACAAATTGAATTAGTTATCAATGAAGAGAATTTAACTCTAACATTGGTTGACCAAAAAATATTGACTTTGCATGTCAATTTGGGATGGAATGAGTATGAAAATTGATAAATTGTGTAGATTTTTGGAGGACGACTAAACTTTAATTGTCTCTTAAACACTTGGAAAAAGTGGCATTGTTTGGTATTGGTATGACATGGTATCGTCCCGTTTCAAAATAAAACCGTACCGAACAGGTTTAGGTCTAAGACCGAACAGAACCAAACCGTTTGAATAGTAACGGTACGGGTACGGCTTTGGCCAAATATTGGACCGGACCGGACCGCGCCCACCCCTATTAAAAATGCTAGGGAGTATGATATTTTCATAAGTCAATTGAAATTTTTCATCAGTTACAATACGGACTAATAATTTTCATCAGTTGCAAAATTTTTTCTCACTTCATTCATTACTCTTTATTTGAATTTTGAACTGAACATGTATTAGGTCGAAACTCGAAACTCAAAAGAAACGTTAGAATTGGGGTGAACATTTTTTTGATCAGTATTATATACGGAATAGTTTATAATATGTTTGGATTTTTTTTACCCCAAGGATCGGGGATAGGGTCTGGGTAAATTAGGATCAAACTCACTCCATTGAATATTGAACCTGAGACCTTTCATAAAGAAGAGTGCATGAGTCGGTCACCTGCGGAGCTGAACCGTTTCCTCTTAAAATATGTTTCAATATTATATTACTTTGTATATATAATATATATCGAAAAACTATATGTGATTATATTCATATTTTCAAGATTCTTACCGTACGTAGAGTTTATGACATATTAAAATGCTAGTTGTTTAACAATAAAACACCTAAAAACTCTAAACTATCTAGTATCACATACTATGAACTATCATCTATCTACAAAAAAGAAGTGATTTTTACTCCAAAATGTTTCACTTCAAATAGTATTCTTTTATCATTTTTTTTATAGATTTCTTGATAGGTTTTTGTTTTAGTGTTTTTTGTTGTAACTTTTGTTTCATGCAGTTAATATGGTAAGTTGCATATTTTTGGGATTAGATATAATGTTTTTTGTCAGAGTTTTTCTTTCGGTAGTTTTTTTTATTTTTTGAAATAACATTGCTTTATTTTTGGGATTGCAATTTTTTCAGTACTTTTTTTGGGATGCCCCGAACCATCCCATTTTGTATCGGTACCAGTTTAAATGGGACAACAAAAGGACAACGTCTTGTCCTGTCCCGTTCCGAATCGTTATTATAAAATGGGTTCGGTACCGGGACAACCCAATTCTCATTCCGTCCCGGACCATGCCCACCCCTACGTGCAATCAACCTGGCAGATCTGAAAACTAATTTTCTTCACACCGACGATTTTACCGAAAGTATCATTATTTGTGCATTTTTTGTCTGTGTGAATGACAAATAATTAGGTTGTAACCCAGGGTGTACACCAAGAATTATTATGTATAATTGTATAAGAATACTTCGAGGATTATTTTGGATCTTGTCTCATGTTATACAAGATCTTAAAATATATTTGTATCAACTTATTATATTTTATTTAATACAAAAAAAAGTTAATAATTAGGATGTTTTCTTTTGGGCTAAAATTTGCTGGTCTGATCTGGTAACATCTGGTTTCTGTGTATTTTATAACTACGGAATTCAAGTTTAGTCTGATCTGGGACTGAAAACGGTCCAAAAGAAAACATCCTCAATTTGGGCAACACCTCACACCGTGCATTGCATGGGTGATATACGAAGTACTAGTTAGTATTAAAAATCAAACTCTGATCAATTTTAATTAGTTCAACCTCAAGGTTACCTCAACTCGACCAATCCAACATTCCAACCTATTTCCATCCATTAAAATCCAAAACATGCGCATTGTGGAGTAATTACCTCAAAGGATATATTTCTGTTTATGTCTATAGCATAATAGCATGACCACATTATGAAGTTCGAGACTTTTTTCGCCCAAGTATCTAAGCTGCCAACTAGAATATGGAGTTATTGGAGCCTAGACTCACTCAGTTTCAATAGAGGTAAAATACAACACTGTTTCTTAGTCCGGAACATTTCTCGAATTCTGCTACTACATCATATGTTAGTTGTTAGTCTAACACTAACAATTAGGATGTTTTTACTTCGACTGTAATTTGTCTCAGACCAGAACAGACTAGACCAAACTTGGATAGTTATAAAAATACAAAGAGACCAGACATTACCATACCAGACCAAATCAGACCAGACAGCAAATAAATTACAGTCCAAGTAAAAACATCCTTACACAACAGTGACATCAGGGTGAGAAATTTTTACTCCAGGCTCCAGCGTGATGGTCCAGACAATATTTGCATTTGGTTCTAATGATCTGACCCTGTGTGGCATAGGAATTTGTCCAATCTGGACTGGTCTCATACTTGTTTCAGTGTTTGACCATCCTCAAATCACCAGTTCGTCATAAAAATTGCTTTCAGAAAACCAATTCAACAACCCGTGCACGAAATAGAAACTTTGAAACTGACTTATTAGGTAAACAAATATAGCAACTAATGTAAATTTCAGAAGTGACTATTCTGACAGGCTTTTCTCTAAAAACTTGCCAATATAAATATTGTGACATCAAAGTGTACCTTTTTAGCTTGCAAGGCTAATCTCAGTCAAATGCTGTGGGATTCTATCTAGGTGCTATGCCTTTGTCTGTGTCTCCTTTAGTATTGCTGATCTCATATTTGTTCTGCCTTACAGAATTGACCATGCAAGGCAGTTGGATGTCCACAAAAGAGACACTGCACCTAGGACTGTGCACAACTTCTAACTTTATATGGTGGGGTGAAAGAATCAATGTTGGATAGCTAGAGTCGGTGCATCATCGATGGGGATGATGAAGTCTTTTAATGGAAACAATGGTCACTCCTAGCTCTGGCCAATCACAGTGAACGGCACTCCAACAATCGCTAAGGAACAAAGTCCGTTAGCAACGTGTGGCCTCATGAAATTATTAAGGACACCAAGAATAAATAAACATAAAACATTGTGACCCGGAATGACTTGTACATTGATCACACAACACGACCCCTTAGCCATAAATTTAAAAATTACTCCGTAGTCCTTCATATATCTGCAATTCACCTTTTAAATAATCCTTCAAATGAAACCCAATAATAATTAATAAACAAGAATATTACCTAGTGAGAAAAATAAATCCATTTTCCTTCAATAATCATCTTCCTCGCTGTCATTCTCGTTGCTTTTCACTCTGTGGATATTCTTTTGAGCATTATACATCTCAGCAACCTGAAAAAAGTTACTTAGAGCGTGACCAAAAAAATAAATTTTCAAATTCTTCCATGACTGTTTCAATTTCCACCATCTCATTATTCCTTCTCAAGAGGGTTATGATATGAATTTATAGTGTATTGGTGTGTTAATTATTTTTAAGCAAGTAATTGCCACTAAACTTGTTGCCTCTGCTCCAACAAGTTAGGATTCAAATACAGATAATGATAATGAACAACTCTTTTCAATCTCCATTATGTGTGCGGTGTCTTACTGTCAAGATAGATGATGAAGATTTTATACCAGCTCAGATGAAGACGCCTGCTCAGGGGTTTTGTCAGGCCGAACCCGAAGTGGACGTGGGCATCGAAGAGATATGCCCTATACATGAAAGCAAAAGCACCACCAACAATAGCATTTTGAATACATAAACGGATGGTACAGTCCAATACCATTGTCAACTGAACAATATAAACAAGCAGGATTCAACGAACAAATCAATCAGTTCATTGTTTCTATTACCTTATTTGAATCAACTATACCCACCGCAGCTTGGTAATCAGGGCTGATGGTTAGGTCAGAAAATTTTACCTCCCACACCTACATAGAATACGGAAACATGTCAATATAAGTATGTAGAAATGTAAAGCCGAGTAAAAAGAAGTAGATAAGTTGTAATTAGATGTAAATATGTAATTAATTTCTTATCAGATAAGAAGTGTTAGGTAGTCAGATCCTATTTTTTAGGATCACTCTATATATATTGTAACCGGATGACTGAATGAATTAAGTTAGATATTTCTCTCAAACTTACATGGTATCAGAGTGGTCTGTTTAAACAGCACAATGGTGGAATTCGAGAACTTTGACTCGTCTTCCCAATTACAAACGAGTAACCCTAATCCCCAAATTAGCTCAATGACAAACTATCAGGCCTCGATCCATTCATCTATGCTCATCACTGGACATAGATTGAATGGAAAGAATTACTTAGAATGATCACAGTCTGTCAAACTAGCAATTGATGGCAAATGAAAGTTGGAATACCTAACTGGTGAAATCAAGGAGAAATAAAGTGGTGATGATGGTATAGTGTCTGAAGGTCAGAAAATTCACTAGTAACGTCTGTGTTGGTCTTATGGGAGATCAGCACCATCCTTTGATTCAGGGCTTAACCGCCCAACCTGTTGGCACCACGATGTGGTGCAGCCCCTCATGTCCATCCGCCGCTCAGTAGTGGGGCTCTGCACTGCCGTAGTGAACTGTGGGGGGTGCCCCACAGGAATCTACCTTGACTTGGGGACTACAGAGTAATGGGTTAAATAGAGGGTGTCCACTTCCTTATCACCAATTGGTTTTAAGAAAGATATGGCTGCTATTTAACCACAGAACTCTGGAGTTAAGCGAGCTCGGGGTAAGAAAGCCCAAGGATGGGTGACCCACTGGGAAGTTTGTCGACAGGGGTGAATCGATCCAACAAGTGGTATCAAAGCGAGGTCACAGGTGAATCTCTCGGCTGGTGCTGAGGGGGTGATTGTTGGTCTTATGGGAGATCAGCACCATCCTTTGATTCAGGGCTTAACCGCCCAACCTGTTGGCACCACGATGTGGTGCAGCCCCTCATGTCCATCCGCCGCTCAGTAGTGGGGCTCTGCACTGCCGTAGTGAACTGTGGGGGGTGCCCCACAGGAATCTACCTTGACTTGGGGACTACAGAGTAATGGGTTAAATAGAGGGTGTCCACTTCCTTATCACCAATTGGTTTTAAGAAAGATATGGCTGCTATTTAACCACAGAACTCTGGAGTTAAGCGAGCTCGGGGTAAGAAAGCCCAAGGATGGGTGACCCACTGGGAAGTTTGTCGACAGGGGTGAATCGATCCAACAGTCTGGCTTCTCAATTCAATGGATGCATCAATTGCCAAGCCTCACATGTTCATGAAAACTGCAAAGGAGGTATGGGATTCTATTAAGGAAACTTACTCAGATCTTGAAAACTCTTCTCAGATTTTTGAGTTAAAAACCAAGCTATGGCAGTCCAAACAAGGAAATAGAGATGCCATCTCTTACTACAATGAGATGGTGTCTCTGTGGCAAGTGTTGGATCAATGTTATGATGATGAAGAGTGAGAGAGTTCAAGGATTTGGCATGACACAAAAAAAGAGAAGAAAATGATAGGGTTTATATGTTCGTAGCAGGAATTAATACAGATATGGATGAAATGAAGGGAAGAATACTTGGAAAAAACCCTCTGCCCTCAATCAGAGAGGTATTTTCTGAGATCAAGGTGGAAGACAGTAGAAAAAAGGTTATGTACAATGCTCCAGTACATAATCATAATGATGATCCAGGAGAGTCCTCAAAAAAGGGAATGAGAAGAAGAAACCCTAGTGTGATCATTGCAAGAAACTATGGCATACCAGGGAGACAAGTTGGAAGATTCTTAGAAAACCACCAGGAGCATGACAAAAAAAAATTGAACAGGCCTAAAACTAATCAAGAACAACAGGTCAATTTCAAGCAGCCCTCTTTCACAAAGGAACAGATAGAGCAACTTCTACAACTTCTAAATACCCAAAAGAACCCTAACTCAGAAAACTCTTCTCGTTCTTTTGCTCAGAATGGTAAAATTGCATCAACTTACTATTTCATCTGCGCCATCTACGGAGCCACATTCTGCCAAGGATATTTGTAGCTCTGTGCATATACCAGAAATCGACTGCCTTAAATATTTCATTCAGACTTCTATGACTAACGGGGTGGATTCACTTTCAAAATTCTTACTCAAAGAATTTGAAAAAATGCTCGCATCTTTTATGGGTAATCAAGATGCTAGACCTCTCGAAAATGAGAAGGCTATTGACATTGCAATTCCAGAGGTCAATTTTTCCAATGACGCTTTCACAGGTAATCAATGTTATGACTACGAGGGTGTATTTGCCGAGAAGATTTTGTCATATTCGGGAGATGAATTTTTGGGTCATGCCTCAGAGAGCGAGCAGAGAACTCCTATTTCAGCATTTGAGGATTTATGGGACTCGGACACAAATGAGGATATTTGCAACAAGGCTCGCTTGGTCACGAAGGAGAACTGTTTGCTCACTCAAAATCTCAACACTTAAATGAAATTATACAGAAAAAAGCACCAGCGATCACATCCAATGAGAACGAGATCCCAATCACATGTGGAGTTTTCCTAGCTTAAAAAAAAAAACTTACTCTTTTTCAGGGAGGGCGTGTTTTACTTGTACTTGGGGTTGGGCTCTTTCTTCTTATTCTTCCTTTGTTTTACTTGTACTTGGGGTTGGGCTCTTTCTTTTTGTTTTTTGTACTCTCCTTTGCTGATTCGCTAATAAAATTTTCCCTTTAAAAAAAATGGTAAAATTGCATCATTTTTGTTCTGGAAAATCAAAAATCACCTGAGACATTGACTCAGGTGCAACAGACCAAATGACATCCACTTCCAATTTATATCTTTCATAAAAACCCTCTGTCGGGGACAAGAAATGAAGAAAATAAAAGTCACAGATGGCTCTATATCAGCCATTGCAGATTTGCAGCCATTGCAAGAACAGGAAATGTTAAAATTTTCTCAATCTATTGATCTTTCTAAAGTCTTACATGTCCCAAACCTATCCTATAATCTTGTTTCTGTTAGCAAATTAACCAAAGATCTCCAATGTTGTGCTACATTTTATCCTTTCTATTGCACTTTTCAGAATCTGGCATCGGAGAAGATGATTGGCAGAGTTGGTGAATAAGATGGAGTAGTAATAGTCACATGGATCACGATACGCTCCGGAACGCGGAACGAAAGCAGGATCGCGGATCGCTAATATCTAAAATCCGATACGTAGGGGGTAGGCTTCTTCGGTACGCTGTTTTGGTACTCGGTACGTTGTACCATTTATTATGGTACGGTGTGCCATAACCATTAACATATAAAATTTATAAATTATAAACATAATAATTAAAAACTAGTAACATTTAAACTACAAATTTTAATAATACGTATAAAGTATTCAATACTAAAGAATACTTGGTCCAAAACTAAAAAAGTTAAGATAAGGTCCAACCGTTCAGTCAACTGACCCACAAAAATGAGAGAAACTAAGGTGAGAAATACAGAACGGCTTTTAACTTTACCAAAAAAGAACGGCTTTAAGATAACGGCTTTTCAGTAACTTTGCAGACGTCGATCTAAAATAGCGAAGAACTAAACTGCGAAGCAGAGTCGACGACCAGCAACGGAGACCGGTCAGCAACCATCGATGACGACAGAGACGGCGACCATCGTACCAAAGTCGTGACCCTGACGCGTTCGGCGCGCTACTGTACCGCGATCCGGAACGCGCGATCCGGAACGCAGATCGTGGCATGTCTAGCGATTTCTGTAACTATGAGATGGACTCTATATCTTTGATGAAGGGACTAGGATTGTAAACGAATTGAATCGAACTGAATACTTGTCAATATTATTCGTATTTGTATAATTGTTGAATATTCGTATTCGTTTAATATTCGAATATTATTTTATATTCGTATTCGATTCGTTTGTATATTCGAATATTCAAATATTGTTCGAATAGTATTCAAATATCCATAGGTAAAAAATATTAAAATTAAATTATGAAAACAATTAAAAGTATCATGTATAATATGGGCCCTTTACGTCATTGTGATAGTTTATATTTCTTACCAAACAAGATATACGTACAAGCCACTTCTTCATGTAATATCAACATAAATAAATCAACGAAGAATTTTAACTCTAAAATAAGATATTTTGACTTAGCAAAGTAAGAACATTTAAATTGAAATATGCAAAATACCTATTAGTTTTTGTACATAAATATTATTATGTCATTGATACTTTTACATTTAATTTTATTTATTTATAAGGAGTAATATATGTTGTATACTTGTATGAATATATATATATATATATATATATATATACACATATATATACATATATATAGGGTTAAGATCGGATACAAAGTGTGCTTCCCATACAAAGTGCAAACTCATCTCATACATCTAATATGATAAAATCAAGGGTAAGATTTGGTTTGACTATTAAAACTCATCCGTGTTAATGCAGATTTTTTTATCAACCTAGCATTAAATGCGGACATACAGTTAGTGGGGGAGTATTCCAATCTACACCATTATCTCATTTATATGGATGGCCAAGATAAATTTGTACTTTGTAAATTAGGATTAGTTTGTATGTGATCCTAAATCTATATATATATATATATATGTGTGTGTGTGTGTGTGTGTGTGTGTGTGTGTGTGTCTATATATATGTATGTATGTATATTCGATATTCGAATATTGTTCGAATTGAATATCAAAGCATTTGTATTCGTATTCGAAAACTATTCGAATCAAGAAACAGATTTGTATTCGTATTCTAATATTCTATTTACTCGAATTCGAATACACATTTTCGAATTCGAATCGCGAACCGAATCAAAATTATTCGATTCGTTTAGAACCCTAGAAGGGGCTGGATCAAATAAAAGAGGCCAAAGAAATGTTTGTCCGCAAACTATTGCTTTTCCCAATAATAATGAGTTGTATTTAATTCATTATAGACTAAGACATCCTAGTTTTCATTACTTAAAAAAATTGTTTCCTCAATTATTTCATAGAAAAATCCTTCACAATTTCATTGGATATGTGTGCACTTGCAAAGCATCATAAAAATTCTTTATCTCCCTCACAATTACAAACCTACTAGTCCTTTTACTCTGGTGCATAGTGATATTTGGGGAGCATCTAGAGTACCTACTTTAAAAGGAAAGAGATGGTTTGTCACAACCATAAATGATCATACAAGAGTAACATGGGTATTCTTGATTAAGGAAATATCAGAAATAGAAAATGTGTTAAGGCAGTTTTATGCAATGGTCCAAATTCAATTCAATACCAATATCAAAATGGTGAGAAATGATAATGGCCTGAATATTTTTCAACAAACCAAACAATTTTTTTGCAAAAAAGGGAATAATTCACCAAAGTTCTTGCATTAATACTCTTGCTCAGAATGGAATTTTTGAGAGAAAAAAAAAGGCAGTTACTTGAATTTATACGTGCAATCATGTTTTCAACAAAAATTCCAAAATATTTATGGGGAGATGTTGTTTTACATGCTACGTATTTAATAAACCGTACGCCATCCAAGGTTTTAGGATTTAAAACTCCCATTGGCATTCTCCAAGAATGTTATCCTACAAATAGGTTAATCAGCACTCTTTAAAAATCTTTGGTTGCACCGTGTTTATTAAAAGTCCAGATAAAACAGCAAGTAACTTTGATGCTAGAGGAAAAAAATGTGTCTTTCTAGGCGTTTCTTCAACACAGAAAGGGTATAAATGTTTTGATCCTTTAACAAGAAAGATGTTCAATTCAATGGACATTGTTTTTGTTGAAAATCATTTTTTGGTACTCAACTTCAGGGGGAGAGTTTAAGTGAAGATGCTAACATTCTGTCACATATCCATGAAAATCTTGATTTTCTTGACATTAATCTAGATATGCATTCTATTAGATATTTAGATGCATCAGAAAATGGTAAAAATCAGAAAATAATGAGATAAATACACCTGAAACAATGGAAAAAGAAGAGCAGCAGATCAGTAAGTTCTTTGGCAAAGTTTATGAGAGAAGAGTTCCAAATCAAAGAGAAAAAGGAAGTCTCTGAACCATAGTTATTACGGTGTCGCTGCATCGTCGCCTTGGCGTCGCCTAGGCGTTGTGGCGCCCAAGGAAGATCGCCATGGAAGCTCGACTCGCCACAAGGCAATTAGGCTTCGCCGCCTCGTTTCCGCATCTTCACCGCAGCGTTAGAAAGAAGCCATAGACGCCAGACAACGACGCAGAAGTGTGACCCGATGATTAAGAACAGGCCCAAACCCAAATCCAAATAAAAAAGTTAACCTATCTGGCAAATTGGGCAACTCTAAAAGTCACCGCCATCCCAAACGCTGAGTCGTTACTCGTCAGCCAGGTCGTTTGTAGTTCGCATCTAGTCTCAAGTTCTCAATATTTTCCTTCTGCCAGGTAATTCCGTCGTCGTCGCAATTTTGGGACAAGCATCGGATATGTAGTGCGTATTAGTTTTATTTGCTTCAGTATTTTAAAAATTCCCGTGCAAAATTTTTAATTTACACGGTTCAGGCTTGACTTGTTATTTTGCTCCAGGATTTTCCTTTACTGTCTAGTGTAGTAAATTTTCCTTACACGGTTTAATTTCCTTCACTATTTTTTGTATTTCTTTTTTTGGTGGCTCCAGTAGGGTGTGTTAATTGCTTTATATTCTTTCTATTCTATGAAAACAAATTTGAGTTTTCTCTACTAGGTGAAATTTCAGTTTTTTTAATACTTGTATATATTTATATTTAATTTTATTAGTTTCTTGAATTTATGCTGAAATTTATGTTGTGTGTAATTGTGTTGTATTACATTTAATAAATTATTTTTAATTGTTAGTGAAATTTCAATTGTTTTATTTTGTATCTAATAATTTAATAACTTTTTAAATAATTTAATAATTTAATAACTGATATCAAATACCAATGAAACTATGGATCCATCAAAAGATCCTATCAAAAAACCCAGATCGAATGATCCCGGATGAAAGTTTGATTTTTTGCCAGATCGAAAAGAATAACCAGGATTTGGTGGAATTCTCACTTTGTGGTTATGGTTTTATGGATTATGTTGTCTCTATGATAACATGTTTTATTACTTCATTGAGAGTCTGTATGTGTTACATGTAGCATTTCAGTATATAAAACATATTATAGATTTATTATTGTACCTATGTCGACTTATCGCCGCGATGTCGCCACGACGGGCGCCATGTCGCCATGGCGGTGTGGCAGCCCGGAGGCGCCATGTCGCCATGGCGGTGTGGCAGCCCGGAGGCGCCACGCCGCAAAACCCCGCCGTAACAACTATGCTCTGAACCTACATCGGCTGATGAATCTGACCGAATGTCGGTAAATGAAAGAGGTAATAGCTCTAATGATCTTGATTTACCAATAGCTCTCAAGAAAGAAAAAAGGTTATGTGTCAAATATCATAATTCAAACTATGTTTCCTATTCTAGATTGTCCTCTACATTTGCAACCTTTACTTTCTAATGCCTTTTCTATTTCTATTCCCTCAACCATACAAGAAGCTTTATCTAAACCTGAGTGGAAGAATGCTGTTTTGGAAGAGATGGATGCTCTTGAAAAGAATCAGACATGGAAGATTGTAGAGCTGCCTAAAACAAGCCCACAATTGGATGTAGATGGATTTTCACTCTTATGTTCAAGGCAAATGGCACTCTTGAGAGATATAAGGCAAGATTAGTTGCCAAAGGTTATACACAGACCTATAGCATAGACTAAATTGAAATCTTTGCACCAGTTGCAAAGTTGAACACTATCAAAATTCTTCTATAGCTTGTTGCTAATTTAGATTGGTCACTTGAAGAGGAAATTTACATGAATCCTCCTGGATTTGAAAGCAGATTTGACTCAAGAGTATGCAAGCTAGAGAAATCACTGTATGGACTAAAATATTCTCCAGGGGCTTGGTTTGACAGGTTCACATAGTTTGTTAAAAAACAAGGATATAAGCATGCTCAAGCTGACCACTCTTTATAAAACTTTCTTGGCATGGAGATAGCTAGATCAAAGAAAGGAATTGTTGTATCTCAAAGGAAGTATGTTATGGATCTTTTTCAAGAAACGGGGATGAGTGCATGCAAACAAGCTGACACACCTATTGATCCTAATCAGAAGTTAGGAGATAGATGGAATCCAGTCAATGTTCAACAATATCAGAGATTGGTAGGAAGACTTATTTACTTAGCACATACAAGGCCTGATATTGCATTTGCGGTAAGTATGGTTTGTCAGTTTATGCACTGTCCATATAAATAACATCTTGAGGCAACTTACAAGATTCTCTGATATATAAAAGGTTGTCGGGGAAAAGGATAATTTTTCAAAAAGAACAATAGTAGAGCAGTTGAGGCCCTTCAAGGTACTACTTCAAGGTACTGCACTTATGTATGGGGAAATTTAGTGACTTAGAAAGGTAAGAAGCAAAATGTGGTTGTCTAATGGTATATGTGAACTTCTTTGGATCAACAGGGTGATCAAAGAATTAAACATGGAGTTGGAGTTGCCTATGAGGCTGTATTGTGATAACAAAGTAGCTATTAGCATTGCTCACAATCCAATCCTACATGATCGAACCAAGCATATTGAAGTGGATAGACATTTTATTAAAGAAAAAATTGAAGCTGGAATTGTATATACGCCATTTGTGTCTACAAAGGATCAAACGGCTGATATTTTAACAAAGGGATTGTTCAAACCAGTATTTGAACTACATGTAAACAAGTTGGGGAATGTATGATATATATTCACCAACTTGAGTGGGAGTGTAGAAATGTGCAGCCGAGTAAAAAGAAGTAGATAAGTTTTAATTAGATGTAATTAGTTCCTTCTTATCAGATAAGGAGTGCTAGTTAGTCAGATCCTATTTTTTAGGATCTCAATATTGAGGTTGTTAGTCTTGTACTCTATATATATTATTGTAACAGGATGATTGAATGAATCAATTTAAATATTTCTCTCAAACTTACAAAGTAAGTAAGAGAGTAAATAACAATGTATTGGTAAAAATAGACACTGGAATCTATTGTTTAAACGTTACATTGCTGAAACAGTTTGCTTATAATCTTTCAAGCCATCCTGAGCATTACAAAAGCAATAATGAATATACATGATCTAAGTGTGCACGCTAACACCAAGCAATAATGAATATCCATGATCTGAAAATGCTTTCAGATCTTTCATTGAAGCAAAACAGGGAAATTTTAAAAAAAAGGCATAGTGATACTTTGTTTTTAAAAAGTGACTGTATAATTGATTATACACTTATGCAATAATGTTAGTTTAGTATAAGAACAAATAAAAAGAATGAAATTGCCGACAAAACATCTTTTTACCTCACTGGCTTCAAACCAAACATCAGGAATATTTTTTTCGCCACACCGATAGTATGCCTGAAATGAGGGATCGGGTGATTTCCATTAAAATTACAATAATAAAAATTTAATAGTGGGATATTCAAAAGGTTCAGACAAAAACAAAGGAAGTGACACCTTTGGTTTGGGAATCACTTTAGACCGCAGGATGGCACAACGTTCTTCTAGCATTTCTTCAGTAAATTTTGTTCCTGTGTTGCAAAGAATCAAGTTTAGTTAATACACAAAAAGAATTCAGTAATCACTAGGGCGGTGCACGGGTCGGGTTCGGGCGGGTCGGGTTTGCGAACCCTAAACCCGTTCGGGTTTTTTAATTTAAATACTAGGCCCGACCCTTTGATATTTCAGATCGGGTATTTCGGATATTTTTAAGTCGGATATTATCGGATATCGGGTCGGGTTTCGGATATTTCGGTTATATTAAAAAATATATATAATTGAATAATTAAAGTGTTTAAATTCCACTTTGACAAAAATTGTACACACTAGTGCACTAAACATCCAAATTACACAAATAATTTAACACAAATTGCACAAATATTTACACAAATAATTGAACACAAGTATTAATTTAACATATTCAAAGTACACGCTACATAATTTAATATACTTCGAATATTTCGGTTATATTAAAACACATAAACACATTATAATTGGATAATTAATGTGTTGGATTGCCACTTTTACAAAAATTATACACACTAGTGCACTACACATTCAATCTACACAAATAATTTAATACAAATTGCACAATATAATTAGATTAATTACACAAATAATTGGATGCAAGTATTAATTTACCATATTCAAAATACACACTAACATATATTTCGGATATTCGGGCGGGTCGGGTTGGGATTTTACAAACCCTACCCGCCACCTGATCTAGACCCAATATTAATCGGATTTTCGGTTTCGGGTTTTTCGGGTCGGATATCCACTTCGGTTCGGATAATATCCGAAAAAAATATCGGGTTTTTCGGGTCGGATCGGGTTTTGCTCAGCCCTAGTAATCACTTGACAAATTGAAAACACTCACCTACTTTACAAACACTTTGAAATTCTTCATTATTGTTGTCATAGCAAGCAAGGAGAAAAGAACCATAGACTCCTGCAATTCATCAAATTTAGACCAAACTTCTAGCCATGTTTATAATAAATGGAAGTACATAAAGTCCTTCAAGAACCAAGCCTGGTTTGTTTACAGGAAAGTGAAATAATTGACCCATATAAGCATCACCACATCTAAAGAGTGTTTGATGACCTGTACGCTTGCCAATGCCATGGAAACCGCCAATAGGTACCAAATCCAGTGTGTCCCCTACACTGCAAACTAGATCCAGTTAACAAAATTGAAACCCATTGATTTAAAAAGTAAATAATCAAGGATAAAAGCATAACATCCTTACTTTTCCAGATAATCTTTCTTCAATTTTGCCCAGTTCAGTGAATACTTGGCAGGTTCATATGTTGCATCTTCATTTAATGTTTTAATAATTAATCCTTCACAACTGCAAATCAAGTGACAAGCCCAATCATATATTAAATGTCGTTTAAACTATTGCAAGAGATACCAGAGTTGGAAGATGTGAAAAATTACATAAGCTGAACTGATGCACATAATTTTAAAAATCAGAACTAGAAATATTTATATATCTATACGAATTAACCATTAACTAAATCAATTAAGACCTAGCATTAACAGCTTCTTCAAGAAATTTCTGTACATCCTCGATATCATTTGATGACATTGATGTTGCAAACTGAAGAAGTCCGCATTCTTCCTCAAAGGAGGCATAGAGATTCTGTAGATAAAATAAATAGGCCTTCGTCAATATATAGTAATCCACATTTTCTTATATCAAGCATATATGACATTCAATGTGCAATTGCTTAACATTAAAAATTGATGGTAAGCAGCAGTACAAAGAGATCACTGCCTCCCTACCAAACTGACAAATCTTTTACAAGGTGTTTGGTTGGAGGGATGAGGAGTGAGGGAAATTATCATTTAACTTTTTAATATTTGTTAAAATAGTTAAGGAGCAAAAATTTCAACTAAAGTCGTGTTCAAAGCAGAGAATATAGGTTTAGGTAATATGAATGCCTTGTTTAACTATCCTTGCATGCATTGTAAAATGTAAAGGGACTAACAAGTAAATTTTCTTTTCCCTGTCTTCCCCATCAAAATTCTTCCTCCCCCCCAATTATAATCCAGCCTCCCTTCTGCCCTTTCATTAAGGGCCAGTTTGGTTAGGAGATTTTAAAGGTAAAGGGAGGGAAGGATTGATTTTTTTTGAGAGAGGAAGGATTGATTTTTTATTTTACTAATTTATCTGAATTTGTTAGTTTTAGACTATAAATAATTATATGATTGGAAATTGCCCTAAATAGGAGTAAATATGTTTCTCTATTCTAAAATAGGACTATCATGTTTTTATTCTCTAAATATATTTATTTTAGGGAACAAAAACATGGTAGTCCTATTTTGGAATTATTTTAAACATGACAATATTTTTCAAACTTGGAATTAATTACTCCTGTTTAGGGAATAAAAATATGGCAGTCCTATTTTGGAATTTTCAAACGTTTTTAGTCATATTTTGGGAATTTTCCCTTATATGATTTGTTAGATCATGTCTATTTATATGCTATTTTACTTTCACTTTATTTCATTTTTTTCTAAATATAAAAGTTAGGGAAAAGTACGGGAAAGGTACTTGTGGTTGGGCCCGTTTTCAGATAGGATCATGTGTTTCATTCTTTATCAAAGTGGTCCATGTGTTTGAATTCTGTTATCACAAGGGGGTCACGCCATTAAAAACGTCTGAAAAAGACCGTTAAAAGTAACTCCGATTTTCAAAAGTGCCCGAAAAATTAAAAGAAAAATACCGGAAGGTGCGCCTCAATAAGACAACCGCTAGGCCATCTTTCTTTTTTGTTTTCAGCCACCCTTGTCACAAGAAAGTTCACCATAAAAGTGATATTAGCGAAATCATTTTTAAAAAGTAATTCAAACAGATCTGAAAAATTCAAAGGCGAAGGTGGTTTGGAGGTCATCTTGACGAGGCGCACCTTTCAGTATTTTTGTTTTAATTTTCCGGGCACTTTTGAAAATCGGAGTTACTTTTAACGGTCTTTTTTAGACGTTTTTAATGGCATGACCCTCTTGTGATAACGGAATTCAAACACATGAACCACTTTGATAAAGAACAAAATACATGACCCTATCTGAAAACGGGCTTAACCACAAGTGCTTTTTCCGTACTTTTCCCTAAAAGTTATTTAAAATTTATATATGACTCCTTCCCTTCCCTCTCCTCCGAAATCCCCCAACCAAACTTTTAATAAGAATGTCCTGCCCTTTCCCTAAGAGGATTCTGTCACTAGAAATTAATGGTTTGTTGTACTTACATTTGTTCAAAATGTTGGTCTGAGTAAGGCTAGGTAAAGTTCGGGTACCGAACCAATACAGTGCATCCCAGGACCAGGACCGAACAGATACTTTGGTTATCCAAAAACTTATAACCGACACCGAACCAAAACTGAATCGGTTACTGATTTATTGGGTACCAACTTTTTGGGTCGGTTTACCCAAAACCATATATAAAACCGATATTCCATAAACTCCATAAATAAAAGCAAAAATTGAACTAAGACTCAACTATTAAGGCCATATAAGCCCTGAAGCTGGTGTACAACCTTTGCTTGTGGCACTAAACCCATTCGGTCAGTACTACAGTGTACTCCCTACTCCCTCCGTCCCACAGAGAGGTTCCCGTTACGATTTACGATGTTTGACTGACGACAAAACAACTTAATCCCTCTAAAGGAGACCGTGTTTAGGAAAGAAAAGTGAAAACTTGAGATATTCTTCCGGACCTGGGTTTTGAACTCGGGACATCAAGTAAGCAAAATGTGGTTTACCACCAGGTTTCCAACACTGATTATTTTTAGTAAATAAAATTTACATATTCAGAAAATACATTAAAACCACTGCAAAGCCTGATATAAAAAATATATAAATTTGATAAAAATTTGATATATAAAGCAAAAGATTAAGAATGATTTAAGTTGACCATGTGAATAGTGGACGGGAACCTTTGAATGGGACGAAGGTAGTATCAACTAAAGGAGGCCGTGTTTAGGAAAGAAAAGTGAAAACTTGAGATATTCTTCAGGACCTGGGTTTTGAACTCGGGACATCAAGTAGCAAAATGTGGTTTACCACCAGGTTGCCAACTATTAACTACAAAATAACAATTAGTATATTATTAATAATTTAATAATTATTAATAAATATTTTCAGTTTGGTTCGGTGCAAACCGATTTTTTTAGTACAATAACCAATTTTAATCCGAGTTTTTTCAGGTCCCAATTTACATTGGTTCGGTTCAGCTCTGTTTTTTCCAATATGGTTCGGTTTATTTCAGCCTGGTTTTCCGTTTTTCGGTCCAAAATGCCAGCCCTAGGTCTAAGTACCCCAGCCAAAAGGTAATAATGCGGAAGCCTATAATGTGAGACAACTTCATTTAGGTTTCCACCAAGTATATCATCAGACTTAACTACTTAACAAAGAAAATAAAAACAAAAATAAAGCATTTGGTAGGGAAAAAATAGTTACCTCTCTACGGACTTTTAAGTTTTCCTGAAGAAGTGCTTGGCCATTAAGATACAACAAATCAAAACCAAATATGCAAACATCTACCTTTATGTCACTCAAAATTACATTCTTGCGAGCCCGAGTACTAAGAACCTGTCAAGATAATTGGGTTATATCATAAGTATTGTCATAATATACTAGTTCAACATTGGCATGGCATATGGCAACTGTCATGGTGCCAAGGCAACTTTCCGCAGCGACGGCACATTTATGATGTCACCGCATCAACAAATTCAAACGAGTATAAATATAAACTATAGCCAAGAAAGTTTTGTGATTCAACCACCGATAAGTGAGCAATAGAGTTAAATAACCAATTCAGGCAATTCTAACCAAAACACACTCGCACAAGTTCAAAACTTCATAAAGTACTAAAAACATCTTAACAACAAAAAAGGTTCAAGTCATCCAAGCATGTGAATTATAGTTCAATCATATGATCTAAATGACCATCAGTCATCACACACCACTCCATCTGAAACTGATAAGAATGGTGTACCATCTGCATTCATTTCATACTCCTTTGTCATCATCCTCATCCTCTCATTCATGTGTGGTTACGCGCACCTTATCTGATAGTGGCAGATGGGGCGTAGTCAAGGTTGTTACGGCATCACCTAGGTGTGGCCTAGTAGCTGACTAGGCGTCCTGGTGCTAAAGAGTGGCGCCAGGTGCCATCGGCTCGCCAGAAGACAAGACGAATACACCGTCGTCGAGGTGCAGTCCTTGGCGCAGTTTTGGCGAAAAGGTGACGCCAGATTTTAAGAGACTAACGGCTAAACACGCAGTCCAGGCCCAGAAATAAAAGATTTAGAAATTAAATTTTAGGAAACCAATTTAATTAGGAATTTCAGAGTTTTATAAATAAAGTTTAATGATTCAATCTTACTTGATGATTCGTACGACTCTTAGGCTCAAACGTCGAATTTCAAGAGTTTTCAAAAAAGCAAAATGCAGTAGAAGTGTACAACTCCAGTCAAAGGAAGCCGTCGAGATCCAGAAGCAATTCGTTCCCAGTTGTTCGTCGATTTTTCTTATCACAGGTGGCTGGTCCGAAAATTATTATTTTTGGGGCGGACAGGTCTCTTAATTAAGTAATACAGAGTAGGGGTATTTAAGGATTATACTTGTGTGTAGCATATACAATGTTTTATGTTGTTTAAAAATTTGTATTTTATAAATATATTTGTTGTGTTTTATTGCGGTAAATATATTATTGCAGCATAGTCGGTATAAATATATAATATTCTTTATGTGTTTATGGTGTTTCAAAAATATACTTTTTTGCAGTTTTTTAGTATACTTAGACCAATCGATACATTATACATACATTAATACATATATATATATATATATATATATATATCGCATAGGCTGCAACCAGTCGCCTAGTTGACACCTAGGCGTGCGCCTAGTTGCCTAGGCGATAAGGCAGTCTGCTGGCTCTGCGCCTCGCCTTACTGCCATGAAAACTATGAGCTCAGTTGCTGTATTTGTGCACAGCTACTCTGGCTGTATATTCCTTGATATCCATTAATATTTGCTGTATCATGATTCATGAGTGGGTTTTTAGGTATTTTATTATCTACTTATATAGTTATATGATCCAAGGACCAACATAAATTACTTAAATGAATTTGCGGTGAAGATCACTACAAACACCATTGGCGTTTGATGGTGCACACCAATTGCGCCATTGACAGCCATGACTCAGGGATTAAAACCTAGGTCTAAACGTAACTACTTTAACAAAATATCAAATGTTGGTAAACAGAATTCCACCGCGGGTAAAATAAAATTGTGAGTTGAAACCTTGATTATAAAGTGATGTATCGAAACTTATAAAAAAACAAAACCAATATTGAGCTTACCTGGAAAGGAAGGATTTTCTGTTTTGAGCGATCATATGCTACAAGTTCACAATCAAGAACAAATGATGATACATTTGTTTTCTTTAACCTGTTCACAAGGAGTGAATATCAGAAACTAATGAACTATGAACTTGAGAAACGTATTGGGAAGCAACTATCACTGTGACTCATTGAGTTCTTTTCTGTTAGAATAACCGGAAAAAAATATAAAGATAAATGTTATGTATTGCAGTTATATTTTGTAGTGACAATGGAAATTCCAATAGAAGACATCAAATGCAGTAGCAGAAAAGATAACAATAGTTCAAAAGACATGTGAGTACCCAATTCTCTCCCAAGTCCTCACACACGTTCCTCCCTCCCCAATACTGCTGCCAGGAAGTTGGTCAGGATAAGGTGCTATGCACCTCACCATGCCATCATCTGGTCCTCCCCTTTCTTGGTTTTTTCATATAAACTTAGGTGATTCTGAGCCATGGGTCCACACTACAAGCTTAAGAGCTTTACCATGAACATGTAAGAATATCTGACAGATATCTCAACACAACATTATTCAATTTTATATGGAGTATAAATGTATAATATTAGAGTATCTGAAATTATTTCTAAGGACTGGTTTCCATTATATCTTTCCATCATTTTCAATGGAGTCAAAGGCTCACTATTTTTTGGCTTGGGAATATGATGGAATAAAGAAAAAACGGTTGACTAAATTGTCTGCGCTTCTTTGTTATGAAGGCATGAAGCAGCAGTCAGTCCATGCAATTTTCGACGCGATTTTCACTGTGGGTCATTCGGAAACAGTCTCTTTGTGCTTTAGTATAGGGGTAAGACTACGTACATCCGACCCCCCCTTACCCCACCGTATGTGGGAGCCTTTGTGGCACTGGGGTAATGATGATGATGACTGGTTTCCATTATATGTCCATCATAAGCTATTTTACTATTTGGCTAGGATTTTAGCCTGGTAACGAGTATAGATCAGAATAAATGCTATGTCAATTATCTTGTGACTATAAAAATTTATTTTGAATTTGTATTCCTTTTATTATACAACTAAACCTACAACTTCAACAGTTCAATTAGATGCAGCGGCTTCATGCTGTAAAGGGAATGTTATAACTGGCTCAAATGTAATGTGTTGCTAATAGTATTCTTAAATTCATTTCCTTGGTTACCTTGAAACCGCAGCAACAACATCAGGAAACATTCCGGTGTTTCGTTCAGCTTTTCTACTATAAATCTCAACAGACCCATCGTCCATGTAATGTATCTGTTTAAATACAGAATCAACCAACGTATTACTGCACTAAACAAATATGATGGAGAAAAATATACCTCTGCATGAAATTTTTCACCGATTAATCCATTACCTGAGCACGCACTCCATCGTATTTGTATTCACATGTGAACTCTACATCCTGGAATCTGTTTAGAATTTCAGATACACTTGTGATAGCTTTTGACAGCATAGGCCCAACTGGAACTCCAAGAGTAAATTTACATTTCATTGGAAGACCCCATACACCACCATCCGTAAGCAATTGAGACACTATCTTGTCATAGTCAGGAAGAACAGAATAGACTTGTTTCACAATCTTTGCTGCCTGATGCAAAACAAGCACCCACCAAAGTTGTAAAAGAAAAATAGAATTCACTCAGCACCGTGTAATTTCCCAATCTCAATCAGATTAGCGTTTACCTCTTCCAAAGGTGACTGGATTCCAGGAGGCGGCTTTGAATGTTTTTCGTCATACACTGCAGCTTGGCCTAATGCAGCTAAGAGAGTTTGCTCAGCACATCCAATACGCAATTTTTTCTAGGCAAAGAAACCCAAAAAATTATTAATAAGGTCCACTAAAGATTATTGTGTCACAATAACATCACAATCTCAACCTGTAACAAACGGATTAGATATAAAGGTTCACAGTCAGTGGCAGCAACAAGAAGTGACTTAATAAGATTATTTTTCTTCTTTTGGCTGTCTTTTCCTACTTCCTGTACAAAAAATGGGACAGGAGAACAAATTAGTCAAAGAATCATAGCTCTCCAGAACAAAGTGTTCCAAGAAAATTGCGATAAACTCCTATTTCCTCCTCTTAGGTGATAGACAAAGATATCTAGTAATCTCCTGTGTTTTATAAAGCAGTCTATCCATGTCTGCATATGGACCAGAATATTAGCCAAAAATTAAAACTGTGGTAGACATCATAAAGCACTAATATCTAAAAACATGCTTTAAGCAGAGGAGAATAACGCACTCTATCATAAACGAATGGAAGGAAAGTTGGTAATACACACCTTGGCAATGAGGTGAAATGTGTTGAAAACCTTTCTAATGGTCAATGGTTCCGGTTTCCGCATCATAGATTGTGACAATCGGCTAGCTTGGGCAACCAATCCCAAGTCACCTTTTTCCTGCACGCACGCACACAACCAAGGTACTATTAGGTGAAGAATGCTACGAATGAAGGCAATGAAACAGACGTTTTACCTCATACTCCTTCTTGATCTGCAATCGAGCCCGACCACAAACCTCCGAAAGTGCTTTGATGATGGAAGCATCTCCTATACCCAATTCCACCCCTTGGTGTGGGGGAGCAATCCTGTTAGCCAAGAGATAGACGACCAGGAGGAGATCCGAAGGCGTAGCATGAATGACGGTCCTCAGAAGGTTGCACACAATGTCAGTGGTCGCAATCCTACCAGTCTCTCCGGCGATCATGTCGAATGCCAATGAGAGGAGCAGGAAGGGTATGGGTTGGCCTTCCTCCCAACAAACAACAGAGCGCGGATCAAACTCCGAGGGATTCTTCTTCATAAGGGGTGCCCGCTTCTTCAGTTCGGTGATCAACTTCGTTGAAGCAGAAGCAGCATTGCATGGAATCTTGGTAGTAGGCGGTACCTGCTGTTCAGTTTCGGAGGATTGGGTTTTCTTCTTCTTCAGAGATGGAGAAGGAGTAGAAAGCCGTCTCTTCTTGGCGGCGGCAGCCCGTGCGCCGCACATGAGGGCGTCAAAGGCTGAAGCTGAAGGCTTAGTCATGGTGGAGGAGGGTTGAAGAAGGGAGGGTTGAAGAACGGAGAGGATTTCGTCGACCTCAGCAGATTATATAATTGTGGACTGTAAAAAAAAAAAGGATGGGTGGGTAAGGGAGTGGTTGCAATAATTTTGGGAAAAAGATTAGTTGAAAACATTTTTCACGCGAAGAGCAATGCTTTTTTAAGTAGAAGTTATCATTTCTCAAAAAAAAAGTAGAAGTTATCGTCTGAGAAACAGTAAGGGAGTGTTTGTGATTGCTTGTGCTTTTTAGAAGTGATTTTTTTAAGAGATTATGGAAAAAGTGATTGATAGTAAAAGTAGGTAGTGTTTGTAAATAGAAGTGATTTTAATTAGAATGTGAAAGTTGAAGTGTTTGATAAAAAAGTGATAATTGATGTAGTTTGTAGTTAAAGTACAAAAATACCCTTGACCAAATTAAATCAAAATAAAAAAAAATTAATGGAAATGAAGCCCATCCATGCGGACTCCTCTTTCTCGATCTCCTTCTCCGCCTTGACCTGCATGTTTCTTCACCATTTTAGCAGCCGCTTTTCCTTCAAACACCAGTCTTTCGTGCTGGGTTCACCGTCGGCCATCATCTTCTCCATCATTTCTTTGCTCGCCGCCGACCACCATCATATCCGACGGGTTTGATTTGTCGAGCGAGAAGGAGATTATCATCCATGGCGGCCTTGATGGACCTCACCTCTTTGAAGAATTTTGTCAGGTTCTTTTCATCCGCCGGGTGGAGTTGCATAGAGCTTGGAATTGTAGCCGGAAGTGGAGGGGGAGCAGAACGGAAGTATATTGTATACATTCGGTGTAGAGCAGAAAGAAGGGGCCAGAGGGCATTTTTGGTTTAATAAATTTTTGTCATCTAATAATTGTCCCTAAAGTTTCAACTATTTACTGAAAAACCTAGAAGCACAAAAAAGCATCCCAAGGGGTGCTTTCAACTTTTGGGTTAAAAGTGCTCAAATTTAAGCTGAAGTGGATCTTTGCAAACACCAATTTTAACTTATTTTAACAAAAAAGCTAAGAAGTACTTTTGGGTAGTGTTTGCAAACACTCCCTAATTTTAGCTCTTTTGATCAAAAGTTCGAGAAGCGCTTTTTAAAACTATTGCAAACACTTCCTAAAGAGAAGCTTCTGCTTAAATTTAAGCTGGTTTGAGTCAAAAGCATATGCTTGTGTTTTTTGATTTTTTAAAAAGATTAGGTTTAAATATGTTTTTAGTCCCTACAAATATAGTACATTTTGTTTTAAATCCCCGCAAAATTAATTTTTTGTTTTTCATCCCTGCAATTTATGTTAGTTTTCGTTTTAGTCCATCATTGATGATAACAACCTTTGATTGACTTCAAAATAACCCTGACTAATACATTTCCTCTAATAATTTGTCATGTTATTAAAAAAAATTATTTTTTTGAAGGCTTTTGATATATATTTTTTAAAATGTGAATACTTAGTTTTAAATTATTTTTACTCTCATATTAGCATAAAAAAATATAAAAGGACAAATTTAAATATTTCTAGTAAATCTATGCAACCGGAAATAATTTTTTTCCTGAGTTAGAGTGGTTTTGAAATTTTAGAAGGACTAAAACCAAAATGGTGCATATTACAGGGATGAAAAACAAAAAAATTATTTTGCAGGGACCTAAAACAAAGTGTGCCATATTTGCAAGGACTAAAAATTTATTTTAGCCAAAAGATTATTGAAAAAGTAATTTATATAAAAACAGATAATGTTTGGAAATAGAAGTGATTTTATATAGGGAAAATGAAAACTAATAATCCAAACTTTTAGCGGTCTTCTTTCAATAATCTCACATTTTGATTATTCATGAATAATCCAACATTTGCACCTCATCTTCATTCATTGGTCCCTGATCGGTTAATGACCTCCTATTCCAAGTTATTTTCTTATCTTTGCAAAATATTATCTTTGTGAAAAATGAGATTTATGGTATAATGATTTGAAAAGATAAGAAAATAGCTTGGAATAGCAGGTCATCAACCGGTCAGGGACCAGTGAATGAAGATGAGGTGCAAAGGTTGGATTATTCATGAATATCCAAAAGGTTGGATTATTGTAAGAAGACCGCTAAAAGGTTGGATTATTAGTTTTCATTTTCCCTTTTATATAAAGTGTAAAAGTTGGTGTGTCTGATGAAAAAGGGATTTATGGTGTAATGTTTAATGAAAATACAAAAACGGTCTTGCTAACCTAGCATTTACACTGTCATGGATAGGGCTGAAAATTTCGTGGATTTTTTCTTAACTGTGATCAGTGAGTTATCTGATAACAAGTTGAAATTGTTTGGGATGACTATGTGGAGCATTTGGCGGAAAAGGAATGTTTTATATTGGGATGGTATACAAGAAACGATTACTCAGGTGATATCTCGAGGGGCTGAAGTGCTACATTCATGGGAAGCAGGCCAAGGTTCGAGAGGTGATAGAAAGGAAAGCAAACAAAATGTTATCAGGTGGAGCAGGCCACAAATTGGTTTTGTTAAGTGCAATATTGATGCTGCAATTTTTTCAGGAAATAAACGAGTGGGATTTGGCTGCTGCGTTAGGGATCATATGGGGAGATTTTCCAGGGCCCGAACTTCATGGATACGAGCGGAAATGAGTCCAGCTGAGGCAGAAGCTTGGAGCTTGAGGGAAGCTCTTAAATGGATGCAGGAGACTGAGTATATAAGAGTTATTTTCGAGTCTGATTGCAAGCAGTTGGTGGATGATATTTACAACGCACACAAGGATCGATCTGAATATGGATCTCTAGTACATGATTGTAGGAATATTGTTGGGTCTAATAACGATTTCTGTGTCGTTTTTGCTAGGCGACAAGCTAATAGTAGTGCTCATGCTCTTGCTAGAGCATCTACTAGTTATGCTTCTTGCACAATTTTTTTATCTGTTCCTTATTGAATTGAGAGCATTGTGATTGATGAAATGAATTAAGCCTTTTGCGTCAAAAAAAAAAACTAGCATTTACTTTTCATCCAATTTTCGTATGAGCCAAATCTGGCCCGTGAACACATGTGAACCTAGCAAGACTATCGCCGCATCAGCAACCAAGTAGCGAGACATGCCGGAATCAACTACTTGTCTACTTGCACAATAGGTATTTGATATAAACTTGCAAATATGAATCTGTGTATTATTCCTCTTGTCCTGTTTTGATTACAACTGTAGCAATTTATATAGGCTAATAGGCTTCTGCCTTTACAAACTAAATAAGGAAGTATAATGATTTTTCCTATTAATATTAATGCTAGAATATTTATTTTCCAAATACAATTCTTCCCATAATACCCCCTAAAGTTGGAGCATTGGGGTTCAAAATGCCCAATTTGCGCAAAAGATACTGAAAGTCTTCCCAAGACAGTAGTAGGAACATAACTGAGAGAGATAAGTCCATCTTGAATAGCATCACGAACAAAATGACAGTGTACTTCAATATGCTTGGTACGTTCATGGAAAACCGGGTTTCGAGCGATATGTAAAGCAGACTGACTGTCACAAAAAAAAGAGGAATAACCTTTCGATGATGAGCACCAAGACTGATCAGCAAGGCTTTGAGCCATTTGAGTTCACAAGTCGCAGTAGCCATAGCTCGATATTCAACTACAGCAGAGGAACGAGAGACAAAAGATTGTTTTTTAGTTTTCCAGAAGACAGGAGAGTGGCCAAGAAAAACTAACCAACCCGGCAAAGAACGACGGATGAGTGGGCAAACAGCCCAATCAGAGTCACATCATCCAGACAACGAAAGATCACTGTCAGTATGCATAAGAATACACTGTCCTGGAGAGCCTTCGAGATAGCGAACTACCCGTAGTGCGACATCCCAATGAGCTTGACATGGTGTCTGCATAAATTGAGATAAGATGTGAACAGAATAAGCCAAGGAGTGATTCTGTTCAAGGCGGCCAAGTAGACGTCGATAAGGCCCCGGATCCGCAACGGGAGGCCCTGTTGCCGCGGCTAGAGAGTGATTCTGTTCAATGGGGAAAATTGCAGGTTTCGCTCCAAGGAGTCCGGTTTCAGATAAGATATCCAGAGTATATTTCTGTTGAGTGAGAAAAATACCACAGGAGCTTCGAGCCACCTCAATTCTAAGGAAATACCGAAGAGTACCCAAATCCTTCATATGAGACGAGAACATTCAACTGGATAGTCCCCCGAATGCGTGTAAACAAAGAGTAGTCAGCGTGGACCAATTTAGCAAACCAACAATGTGGTGCTTGCTTCAAGCCATACAGAGATTTATGTGAATGACAAACCAGAGATGGGTCAGAAGTAGTATATATCCTTGAGGTATCTTCATGTACACCTTTTCTTCTAGGTCCCCATGCAGAAAGGAATTATGCACATCCATCTGATGAACCTCCCATTGTTTGGACGCCGCAACCGCCAGAAAAGCACGAATGGTGACCATTTTGGCCACAGTAGCAAAAGTTTCATTATAATCAAGTCCTAGGCCTTCAACTTGGCGATTGCCAAAAATAACCAAACGAGCTTTGAGAGGCTCAATGCTCCCATCAGAGTTGTAATTGATTTTATACACCCAACGACAACCTAGTGCTCGTTTGCCCGGAGGGAGAGATTGCAGAGTCCAAGTATTATTTTGTTCATGCGCACGAATTTCTGTACGCATGGCATCACGTCATCCTGGATCATTAATCGCATCATGAAAAGAAGTGGCTCCACGTGATTGTACACAGCTGCCAAAAACGCATGATATCGAGGGGAAAATTATCACAATTAACATAGTGAGCTATAGGAAACGGAGTACCTGACGAGACAGTCGGTGCAGGTGAGACGGGGATTGAACTTTCATGAATAATAGTGTGAGTTGCATAATCATGCAGTTTCACGGAAGGAAGTTCGGCCCGTTTACCATGTCCCAAGTATTCAGCTGGTGGAGCGCCACTTGGGTCAAGTGGTAATCTGTCGGATGCAATGTCCTTAGGTGCTGGAGCTGTAGAGGTAAGAGAGTCAACTGATGCAGAAGAAGACGATATTGCTGTAGGATATTCCCATACTGGTGGGGGGTCATTCGGT